CCACCAGCTCCAGATGTGAGATCAGCCCCTAAAAAAAGTCCTCCACGCGGTTATGGAGTCGCTGTTAATGTGGCAAAAAATCGCCCCGATGATTGACACAACTTCCCAATGTGATTTTGATTTGCGTCGCTAATGCAGAAATCCCAGTAGCGGCTTATGGGATTACTGTGTCTTAGCGCAACAGACTCTAATGTTTGTGTGTGTGAGAGAGGAAGGTGCTCATGTTTGTGTCCAGTTCAACCAGCTATACTTTAAAAACAATATATTCATCGTTGATTGATACGACGCTTTTCTCCGGCCAATTTATTCGGACCCGATGACATCCAACGCCCCAGAAGAGTGCCTCTTCTTTGGAGCGTCCTCAGACGCCCGAAAAACACGCTGGGCTTCCAAATGTTATGGTCTCATGCTGGACTTCATTTGAATTTCATGAATCCGTGTAAGGGAGAGAGAGAACGCATCACGCAGTCGCTCTTGTAATGCGTCCCGTTCGCCCCTCCTGTAAATGCCTCGGCTTTTTAAATTGCCTCAGTTTCCAGCTTGTTGAGGTTGCTTTATTTAATCCAGTGTTGGGAATAAACAAGCGGATTCACGAGTTGGACCCACAGAAAGGTCGTGTGCAGATTTATGCTGGGATGTAATAGTTCCCTTGACTGCGTTTATTGCTTACTTTCAAAAAAAAAAAGAGAGAGAAAAAAAAGTAATTTCTTTATATCAGCATCAAGCTGAAAATTGCCTTGTATTAGTATTAGGCTTGGTAAGCTTCTAATTCTGTGGCATTTACAGCTGGCTGTGTTTCCATGCATTTATAACACTTTGATTCTTAAGGGCCCCCTTTAATCGCTTACGCCGAGCTCGGGACATAATAAACAACTCGCCGCGGCAAAAGTGCCACATGGGGGAGATTTCCTAGAAGAAAAAGTTAACCGCCTCTGTCGGCGGCGGCGGTTTTTGTTGCTGTGTTTTTTCTTTAATGCACCGTGAGTACCGTAATCTACTCTCGGAGCCCGGGGGGGGGGCTGCTGTAGTTAAAAAAGCGGCGACAGTCGGTGTGAGAATGAAAAATGATCGTAGAGGCAAGGCAGAGCCGTAAAGCAGCCCTTTTTTTGTTTTCTTCCTCCCCTGTCGATTGAGATCACAGGATGCGTCAAAGCCTTCTAAACACCCTCGCCGGGCCGCCGGCTGCTCTCCCTATCTGATGCTCTCAGCTGCTATCAGAACACACACACACACACACTGGCAGATCGCCCTGCTCCTCTGTATTGTCTCGCTAAACAGGTTTGCCGCCTTTAACTGCACGCCTCATGCCTGAGTGCAATATGTCACACAATAGAGCAACATTCCTGGTGTTTTCTCTCTTGCATCCCCAACAACTTCTCATGTGAGTTATCGTTCCCGGTGCGGAGCCAGAAAAAGAATTCCCCCCGCTGATAACCCGATCGCAGATGTGTTATCTGGAAGCTTTACTTAAAATATAGTTCCGTGGTAAAAAAAAAAAAAACGCGGTTTGGCAAGTTTCAATCTATTTTTCTATCAGCGCGCTTTCTTCCGGTCCGAGTCGTGTCGACGGAGCTTTGATAACGTCTTCCTGCCACCAGGTGCACGCGGCTAACGTGACGCAGCCCTCGTGTGAGATTGACCGAGGCGACGGGAAAGTAAGCAAATTCCACCCGAGATGAGTTGTTTTTACGGCGAGATGAAAAGAAAATCACAAAAGTGAGAAAAACAGTTCTTTTTTTTTTTTTTTTAGCTTTGGCCTCGTGTCTCCGCTTCAGGAAAGATGAAATGGAACTAACAACGTGGATTGATTTGTTGTCTCCGACTCCACAGAGGTCTTTCTTATTTTAACCTAGGCCGGCATCTGTCCCGACTGCCTTTATTGCAAAACAATATACTGTACTATAACCGGTGAGATATCAAATATATACTGCCCTCCGCTCCCCAAAACAATACTATACATTTATATATATTACGACACATTATGTTTGTGGTTTCCAGCCAGACTAGAGAAAGTCTCTGACTATGTAAGGAAATAATAATAAATAAGGAGAAAAAAAAAAGTTTCCTACAAGTCTTTCTTGTTTGGATAGTTTTGACTTTGTTGCAATCACTTCACGTCATGGTAAATATCACTTTGGCAGTCCGTTGCTTTCTCCGTTTATTTTAGAAAACAAATCCCTTTTAGGGATAAAGCACCTGGTGGGGCTACTTAATGGAATGGCTTCAGCCCTACGCAAATAAACAGCTTGCGTTTTTTCAGTGTGAGATTAGGAATGAGGCTGAGAGGGAGAGAGGGAGAGGGAGAGAGAGAGGGAGGGAGGGAGAGAGAGAGAGAGAACCAAACAAAGACAGTCAACATGTGGAGGGGACAGAAAGGGGAGAAGTTGCACGTCCACTTCCAACTGTAGTTGACTCTCTGAATTGTACGTCTGTAGAAATGCACGAGAACCTGGGTGAGACGTCACGCTGAGGAAGTCCACCAGTGAGTCAGCAGTAGGAGTCATACGGGCTGGAAAACACTGTTTATGAGTCTTTGTTTTCCCCACTTGCACATCTAAAAACGTGCACTCTCGCCTTTTCTTAACCTGGAGGAGAGAACGTGGCAACCACAGCCGGAGACCAGAGGTCGAACAGTGACCAGCGACTGGTAGAGCAGAGTGGAGGCTGGTCTCTCTTAAATATCTGGACATGCTGTAGAAATGAGTCAGAAATGGAGCTTTTGAAACCAGGCATGTCAAATAGTATCTCAGTTATTTCACTCAGCCATTAGTCTGCCCGCCGCTCCGATTCACATTATATATTGTGAACAATTGGTCTCCACTCATTCTCTTGTTGGGATTGTCTGGAGGATGTTCACATATTTTGAATACCAGAATTAAACAGCCAAATGAAACATTGTTTCTTGTATATGGAAATGACATCGTCCACATTGCCATTGTGCTCATTCTTAACACCGGTTGGGTATCAGCCAAAATGTGACTGTTTGAATGGAATATTAAAGCCTTGAATGTATTGAAAGTCTGCATTGAATGGCCACTCAAATAAATAAGTAATACTTATTCTTATTAACAAATACTTCCCGCACTAAAGGTGGAATTGACTCCTCGAAATCCATCTCTACGTGTCGTTGGGCTACGCTAGCGGGTCAGTTAGCGAGCTACTGCTGTTCACTAAGTCCAGCGTATTCAAAATACTTATTCGTACCATTAACATGTTTCATAATTTTCTGCACACTGCTTGTTGGAGCAGGTTATACTCTGAATAGAGGGGATGCGATGGAAGCTTGGACTCTCCGGCTCTTTGTTCCCTTAAAGGTCAGCAACGTCAACAGTCAACACTGTGGGATAACGATGCTAATTTACACGTCAAGGTTCACCAAATATCAACTCAACATGAGACATTTGGTTCAACTTGAACTTTTGTATGAAATGCGTGTGTAGTTTCCTTCAAGTAAGGTATTGGGGAAAAAGTACAAATTTGGAGACATCACCATGATGTTTGCTGGCATAAAAAAAA